GTCGCTGGACACCACGCGGTAGATGTCCTGCAGCCACGCCACCAGGTCGTCCGTGTCGGCGCTGAACTGGAAGAAGCTCAGCGCGTCCTCCAGGCGCTGCTGGTGGAGCCCCGTGATCTCCTCCAGCTTCTTCCAGCGCAGGCAGACCTCGCGCATCTTCTCCTGGATGCCCGCGGAGCCCAAGGGCTTCTTGGCCAGGATCTTCTCGCCTTTCTTCATGGTCTGGTGGAGCAGAGCGCGGCGGTTGCCCAGCTCGCCCAGCATGGTCTTGTGCTTGGTGGTCAAGGTGAGGACGCTGCTGAGGTCGCGGCCGCAGCTCCTGGTGGCCAGGATCTTCTCCTTCTCGCGGATCCAGGCCTCGGCCTCCTCCATCTCCTGGAAGAAGGTCCAGAGGTGCCGCGAGTCCTCCAGCTCCTTCCTGCGCTTGGCCGCCAGCGCGCGCAGCTCCTCCAGGCACGCCTGCACGTGGTGGACGCGGTTGCAGATGATCTGAGGATCGCACGGTTGGTAGCCTGGGCCAGGAGAAGACACTCAGGCGGTGGCCAAGGGTCACCAACCACGGAGGTGTCCGAGGAAGGACCGGACACGACGCTCCGGCCTCTGCTCTGGGCTGGACTCCAGGATCTCAGAGGGTTCTTCCAACCCCAAGGGTTCTGTGGGGACTCTTGGAGGTGGCCCACCAGGACCTTGGGTTGACCATTCCATGGTCCACCAGGACCTTGGGTTGACCCTTCCATGGCCCACCAGGACCTTGGGTTGACCCTTCCATGGTCCACCAGGACCTTGGGTTGACCATTCCATGATCTACCAGGACCTTGGGTTGACCATTCCATGGTCCACCAGGACCTTAGGCTGACCCTTCCATGATCTACCAGAACCCTGGGTCAATTTTTGATGGGCCACCAAGATCATGGGTTGACCATTCCATGGTCCACCAGGACGTTGAGTTGACCATTCCAGGGTCCACCAGGACCTTGGGTTGACCCTTCCATGGCCCACCAGGACCTTAGGTTGACCCTTCCATGACCTACCAAAACCTTGGGTCAATTTTTGATGGGCCACCAAGATCATGGGTTGATCATTCCATTGACCACCAGGACCTTGGTTGACCATTCCAGGGTCCACCAGGACCTTGGGTTGACCATTCCATGATCTACCAGAACCCTGGGTCAACCTTTCCATGGGCCACCAAGATCATGGATTGACCCTTCCATGGCCCACCAAGATCTTGAATGGCTCCTTCATGGTCCATCAAGACCTTGGCTTATCCTCTCATGGTCCATCAAGACCTTGCCTGACCCTCCTGTGGTCCATCAAGACCTTGGTTGACCTTTCCATGGTCCACCAAGACCTTGGCTGATCCTCTCATGGTCCATGAGACCTTGCCTGACCTTTCCATGGTCCATCAAAACCTTGGCTGATCCCTCCATGGTCCATCAAGACCTTGCCTGACCTTTCCATGGTCCATCAAGACCTTGGCTGATCCTCTCATGGTCCATCAAGACCACGCCTGACCTCTCCATGGTCCATCAGACCTTGCCTGACCTTTCCATGGTCCATCAAAACCTTGTCTGATCCTCCCATGGTCCATCAGACCTTGCCTGACCTTTCCATGGTCCATCAAAACCTGAGCTGATCCTCTCATGGTCCATCAAGACCTTGCCTGACCCTCCTGTGGTCCATCAAGACCTTGGTTGACCTTTCCATGGTCCACCAAGACCTTGGCTCACCCACCCATGGTCCATCAAGACCTTGGCTGATCCTCTCATGGTCCATCAGACCACGCCTGACCTTTCCATGGTCCATCAAAACCTTGGTTGATCCCTCCATGGTCCACCAAGACTTTGGTTGATCCCTCCATGGTCCACCAAGACC